CAGCACTGATAACTGGCATGTTTTATTGCAGCCCAGTTCCAGCCAGTGTTTGCCAACTTGTACAACAGAAGTCCAGCAATAGGTGGGTAGAGTGCAGGAAAAACAGTGCCATGTTTCTCAATTGGAGACCTACAAGAAAACAAACAACATTATACAGTCAATTTATGAATACAAAAGAATTAACTGTTAGAAGGTTTTATTCATCTTAGATTTCTTTGGCAACAAATCCCTATTTCATTCTGAGCTCGCTTTGAATTTGTCTATTATGGTAGCTCACAAGCCATGTGGAGATATTTAATTTTAGATGTAAATTAATTGACATTAAATACAATTTACAATTTAGTTCCTCAGTCATGCTAATCACATCTCAAGTGCTCAACAGTCACATGTGGCTAGTGACTGCAAGCTCAACAGCACAGCTGTATCATCACAGAAAGTTCTATTGGACAGCATTAATTCAGATTTTTCAATAGTTCAAATGTCGTTCAACTTATGTTAAATCTAGAATCCATAAGAGAAGATTTAAAAACCAAGCGGTTTGGAAATTTACAAACATTTGAGGATATTCAGAGAAACAACTTAAGATTGCCACACTTCCCAACTTGCTAAATTCTATCCAACTCACTATAGCTCCCTTCAAACTCATTTTCTCCACAAAGCCTCCCACAAATGACCCTCCTTCCCAATTACAGTTTGTAATTGTTTTGAATCTGTTGGCCTCATATCACCAAATTAGACTAAAAGTCAAGAACACATCTACATCAAAAGCAGTACCACGTCATCCGGTTCTTATGTGCCAAGCAGCATGCTAAGTGCTTTACCAACTCAGTTTCCGAATGCTCGCATCATATGAAGGAGTCTACCCTATAAAGGTGAGACAAATTCACATAGCTAATAAATGGCTGAGTTTCCTGTGCAAAGTCAGAAAAACACTAGGTTGAAGTTTTTCTTATTTATTTAAGACAGGGTCCCACTCTGTCATTCATGCTGGAGTGCAGCAGCATGAACACGGCTCACTACAGCCTCCGGCCTCAAGTGATACTCCCACCTCAGCCTCCCAAGTAGCTGGGACCACAGGTGCACACCACCATGCCCAGCTAATTTTTAAATTTTTCTATAGAAACAGGGTCTCACCACGTCACCCAGGCTGGTCTTGAACTACTGGACTCAAGCAATGCTGCTGCCTCGGCCTCCCAAAGCACTAGGACTACAAGCACGTGCTGCTGCACCCAGCGGTTAAAGTTTTAGAAGTCTCATCTGACTATTAGACTTTTCAGAGTCTTGATTATATTAATACGTGCTTTGAAAGGGGGTGGGTGGGAGTGCCAAGGACACCAGAAAAGGAAGCACCTATTAGTATTACATCTTTAAGTGTTCCAAGGAACTCAGAAACTGAATCTATTGCCATGCACAATTTTGGGCAAAAGAATTCAAACAGAAAATGACTGAGAAATCAAGGGATATAATTTTAAATTCCTCACAGAGAAGCCAAATGTACTTAAGAGTTATGGCAAATTTTAACTCACACGAGACATGTTCAAAATTCAGCATGTCTTCTAAAGCCCAACATGAATTTATCAGTCTTACAATCACTCAAATGCAACTATACCAAAAGCTCTGTTGTAGGGAGGAAGCAAGCTGTTTAGACGACCTCCCTACAAGATACTGAGAGGCTGAACCACTGCTAAATGTCTTTCCAAAAGACATGCGTACCAAGCAATGTAAATGGCCCTTAGAAAGGATGCAATGTACTACATAACAAATGTATCACCTTCACCAGAGTCAGGTCCTATCATCTGCACATAGATACACATACGCACATACATATTTTTTATTAGAAAATCCAAAGTCATACACTGAAACTCAAGAGATGGCCAGGCATAGTGGCTCCTGCCTGTAGTCCCCGCACTTTGGGAGGCCAAGGTGGGAAGATTGTTAAGAGGCCAGGAGTTCGAAACCAGCCTGGGCAACAGGAGACCCTTGTCTCTGCAATAAATAATTAGCCAGGCACAGTGACACATGCCTTATAGTCCCAGCTGCTTAAGAGGCTGAGGCAGGTGTATAACTTGAACCTAGGAGTTCAAGGCTGCAGTGAGATATGAGTGTACCACTGCACTGAAGCCTGCGACCTAGCCTTTTAATAGCAAAGATCCAGTTTTAAATAATAGCATTACCTACTTCAGCAGAGAAAAAAGAAAATCTATCCCTCTCCCCTTTGAATAAAAGTTATACTAAATTCTAAATAGAGACAAGGCCTCAGTACAGAAAAGGCAGGTTTTGTCACTTTTCTCTAGAAAGATAAATGTGAATCTTGCACACATAAGATCAAAAGTAAAAAAAAAAAAAAAAAAGTGAAAACTAATTACCTGCATAATACTCCAAATAAATAGTGCTGTCTTGAAACAGTCATTTACATTTTTTTGTAAGCATTTCCACTTTGTAGAATTTAGGTTTCAATATTAATTGAAATTATATCAATTCCATCTGTCATTTGCCTCAAATTTTCTCATAATTATTCCTGCTTTTTTATCCTAAAAATCTGGAGCTTGTTTACCTCCAAAGAACTTGAATATCTTGCCAGGCGCGATGGTTCGCGCCTGTAATCCCAGCACTTTGGGAGGCCGAGGCATGCAGATCACGCAGTCAGGAGCTCGAGACCAGCCTGACTAACATGGTGAAACCCTGCCTCTACTAAAAATACAAAAAAAAAAAAAAAAAAAAAAAAAAAAACCCACAAAAAACAAAAACTTGAATGTCTGGTTTCATTTATTAATTTTCTAAAACTAGAATCAAGTCCTTAATTTTCCATATGGCTACCAAATCTAATCTTTTAAAAAGATCTGAAAAAATACAAAACAGACCAGTGTGCTCTCAAATAGAACTCACTTTTTGATGTTAATGACAAAAATAAAAGTAATTCTTCACTCACAGGTAAGTATTTCAATGATCTTCACCACGAGGAAAATAGCTAGTATCAAGGAAGTTCTCCCCATTACCCTTCATACAAATGCTTCCAAAAGTTCCAAATCACCCTGCACAGCCACCCAGTGTACTCCTGCCCTGTCACCAATCGGCTGACTTTTCCCCCCAAACTGGGACAGTGCTGCTCCTCTTCTACCATGAGACTGGTGAGCGCTAACACCAACCTCCTTTCTGAGCTCTCTGTGACAACTCACTCTCCTAACTCTCCAGCGTGTTACCAAGCCAGTCTCCACTTCTTCCTCCTGTCCTCTGGATGTGCAGTCTCCAAACTGTTGTCCTTGGCCCTGGTAAGTACCGCTCTCTACGCCAAAAGGATCTGTATCTCTACTCTGGAGACTTGCAATGTCACCAGCAACCCTACTTCTAAACCTCTATCCTAACCATCCAAATAGAGTCGTGCTCTGCTTCCAATCTCACTGAAGCTCTTTTTTTCTTTTTTTTGGAGAGACAGTCACCCAGGCTGGAATGCAGTGGTGCAATCTCCGCCTGCTGCAACCTCCACCTGCCAGGTTCAAGTGATTCTCCTGCCTCAGCGTCCCAAGTGGCTGGGATTACAGGCATGTGCCACCATGCTGGCTAATTTTTTTGGTATTTTTAGTAGAAAGGGGTTTCACCACATTGGTCTCAAACTTCCATCCACCCACCTCAGCGTCCCAAAGTGCAGCTCCCAAACTAATGACTGGTTTAGGTACTTACTGAGGTATTTCCTTCCTTACTGAGCAAATAAAAAAAGACGGTGAAAATAGGAAAAATTTTTAGACTGCATGGTGTATCTGCTACTAAAGGGGATCACTTCTGGTTATAATAAGGAGATCTAAAAGCACATCTAAATTTTTTCTGGAAACTAGAGATATAAAACACGAAAATAGGATAAATGGTGGACAGACTTTGGCTTTACTTCTGACTTGCAGCTTTGCGTTCGATACATTTAATCACAAAAATAACAAATTAAAATTAAGATAGTATTACACTAGTTCAGGGATAAACAAAGCAACCACTGAAAAATAATGCCCAAAACAGATCAACACCTACTGGTTGATGTGTTGGAAATATGATTTTATGACATAACGCACTGTATACCAATGGTGAAAGGCAGGACTTGTCAATACGTGGTCTAGTCAAGTGATACACTGGGGAGAAATGTACAGGGAATGAGGTTCAACCTTTACCTCACATCATACACAAAAATCAATTTCAGTGGATTCAACACAAATATGAAAGGCAAAACAAAACAGATTTTTGGTGGTAAAAAAAAAAAAAAGTAGGATTTCTAGCTAAGACATCAAAAGTAAAATCCATAAAAGACTAATCAATTCACCTGCATTAAAATTAAGAACCTCAGACTAGGCACGGTGGCTCATGTCCATAATGCCAGCACTTTGGGTGGCTGAGGCACAAGAATTGCTTGAACCCAGGAGGTGGAGGTGGCAGTGAGCCAAGATTGCACCACTGCACTCCTGCCTAGGCAACAGAGCAAAACTCTGTCTAAAAAAATAAAAAAATAAGAACCTCAGTTTGTCCAAAGGATACCATAAAGAAAATAAAAGGACAAGTATACAAATTAACAAACTGAAAAAAATAGTCTTAAAACCTGAACACAAATTTCACAGAAGAAACCTCAATGGCCAAACACATGAAACAATATGCAATTTCATTGGTAACTAAGGTAATGCATATTAAGCCCACAATGACCCAACATTTTATAATATCCAGATCAAGATACACACACACGAACACACGTGCACCTGAGCGTGAGATGGTCTCACTCTGTCACCCAGGTTGGAGTGCAATGATGCAATCTCAGCTCACTGCAGCCTCCGCCTCTCGGGTTCAAGCAGTTCTCCCATCAGCCTCCTGAGTAGCTGGGACTATAGGAGTGCACCACTACGCCTTGGTATTTTTTTACTTTTTTGAGACAGTCTTGCTCTGACCCCAGGCTGAAGTGCAGTGGCCCGAACTCGGCTCACTGCAACCTACGCCTCCTGGGTTTATATGATTCTCCTGTCTCAGCCTCCCAAGTAGCTGGGACTACAAGCGTGCACCACCATGCCCAGCTAATTTCTGTATTTTTAGTAGAGATGGGGTTTCACCATGTTGGCCAGGATGGTGTCGATCTCTTGACCTCGTGATCTGCCCGCCTAGACCTCCCAAAGTCCTGGGACTATAGGCGTGAGCCACTACACCAGGCCACGCCTTGGTAATTTTTATATTTTTTGGTAGAGACAGGGTTTCAACCATGTGGACCAGGCTGGTCTCAAACTCCTGACCTCAAGCAATCTGTCTGTCTCAGCTTCCCAAAATGCTGGGATTATAGGCATGAGCTACTATGCCAGGCCAGATCGATAATCATTCAGATGTATGATAATCTCAAATGTTATTGAATATATGAAGCAAAGGGAATCTTTTTTTTTTTAAGACAGAGTCCTGGTCTGTTGCCCAAGGTGGAGTGCAGTGGCGTGATCTCGGCTCACTGCAACCTCCACCTCCTGTGTTCAAGCGATTCTCCAACCTCAGCCTACCAAGTAGTTGGGATTACAGGAACCCATCATCATGCCCGGCTAATTTTTGTATTTTTTAGTAGAGACGGGTTTTCACCATGTTGGCTATGCTGGTCTCAAACTCCTGACCTCAGCTGATCCACCAACCTTGGCCTCCTAGAGTACTGTGATTACAGGCATGAGCCACTGAATTGGGCCAGGAATCTTTTCTTTTTTCTTTTGAGACTGAGTCTCACTCTGTCTCCCAGGCTGGAGTACTGTGGCATGATCTTAGCTCACTCCCAGGTTCAAGCAATTCTCCTGCCTCAGCATCCCAAGTAACTGGGACAACAGGCACGCACCACTATGCCCAACTAATTTTTTATATTTATAGTAGGGACGGGGTTTCACCATATTGGCCAGGCTGGTCTCGAACTCCTGAACTCGTGATCCACCCACCTCAGCCTCCCAAAGTGCTAGGATTACAGGCATGAGCCACCGCGCGCCCAGCTGCCAAGGGAATCTTTATTCTTGCCAATGGGACTACAAAAAGAAGGAACACTTTACAATTTAGCATTATCTAGTCAAAATGACGTGCATGTGCCCTTAATTAAACAATTTCATCCCTAGGTATATACCCTAGAGAACCTCTTATAGTACATACAAATCAGGAAACAAGGATAGCCACCCTCTATAATAGAAAAAGAAAAAAACACCCCTACAGCAATTCAGAAAATCACTGCAATGAGAATAAAGAGTAGAGAGGTAATTTACCTAATGAAATAGTACAGACAAAGTATACCTATTTGCAACAACACAGATCAATTTGAAGAATGCTGAGCAATAAAAGTAACAGAAGAATACATCCATTATCATTCCACATATCAGCAGTTCAAAATCATGCAATACATTGTTTCAAAATGCAAATTTGGTAAAATTATGAAGAAAAGCAATAGTAAACCCAGAATGAGGAAGAGGAGAAAGGGACAGAAGAAAGCAGTGGAGGGTGGGGGCATAAGATAACGGTAATGCTCGTTTTCTTAAAATAGGGAGAGCCCACATAGGATGTGCCATGCATTGTCATAATGTACACACTATATTTCAGTTTCTCCCTCAACCCCCACAAATCAAGAGGTTTTTTACGGCATCATTTAATTATCACAAGCAGGTCTTAGGAATCATCTGGCATCTTGTCTCTGTAGCTTCACAACTCTTAGACCTTATTCACCAACCTGCAGGACTATTCCTTTTTCAGAGACATAGATGCTAAATAAACATGTTCTGATACCCTTGGTTTAACTATGGCAGCCTGCTGAATCAAAGTAGCGAAATTTGAAACAGCTCAGTGTTGTATCCTTTGGTGCTCTACACCTTCAGAGAAGCTTCTAGAGTAACAAACTATAGTAATGATCCTTGAAAGTATAGTCTTTATTTCAGTTTCCATCATTTCAATTTTTTTTTTTAAAAGAGACAACCCACATATGAGCAATTAATCTATGTTATTTCCTCTTCTAAGGTGGATGGACACCTTCCATCTCTGACTTCTTTCTAGACCTAAGATAAAACTGTGGACACATGTTACACAGTAAAAGGGGTGTTTTTACTACTGGCCCTGTCTCTAAAGACCAAGGAGATAGAAGACCAACGTTAAGGGAACAGGTTTACGGTCTTGCCTATACCCGACATAATACAGTATATGAACATGTAAGAAACATTAGTGCCCAGAAGTGATCAGGATGGTAGATCAAAAAGTCAAACAGGCCAGGTGTGGGGCTGACGCTTGTAATCCCAACACTTTGGGAGGCCGAGGTGGGCAGATCATCTGAGGGTGGCTGGGAGTTCGAGACCAGCCTGACCAACATGGAGAAACCCCATCTCTACTAAAAAATGCAAAATTAACCAGCCTTGGTGATGTATGCCTGTAGTCCCTGCTACTCAGGAGGCTGAGGCAGGAGAATCACTTGAACCCGGGGGGGGGCAGGCTGGTGAGCGGAGTTTCACGCCTTGCACCCCAGCCTGAGGAATAAGAGTGAAACTCCGTCTCGGGGGAAAAAAAAAAAAAAAAGTCAAACAAAGAAACTAAATGGAAATAAGAACCTTAACATTAGAAACTTTACCATCAGGCCGGGTGCGGTGGCTCAAGCCTGTAATCCCAGCACTTTGGGAGGCCGAGGCGGGTGGATCACGAGGTCAAGAGATCGAGACCATCCTGGTCAACGTGGTGAAATCCCGTCTCTACTAAAAATACAAAACATTAGCTGGGCATGGTGGTGCGTGCCTGTAATCCCAGCTACTCAGGAGGCTGAGGCAGGAGAATTGCCTGAACCCAGGAGACGGAGGTTGCGGTGAGCCGAGAT